TTAAAATTTCTTTATATAAGAAAAAAAAATATATAAAATCAAACAGCAATAACATAATTAAATAGAACGTAAAGAAGACAACTGTTTTGCCACATTTCTTTTTGTTTCAATTCAACGGACATTGTGCTGCTCTGTCTGATGGGTGTGCGATGGCCATCTGGCACTCAATAATTGGTTCCCCAAATACTTTTGGGGAGCAGTGACTCGATATTTCTAGCTAAATGGCTCTGTTAGCCATCAGATTAACTAGAAAGCCAAGTAAATATTAAGTGACATAGTATTTGCCCATTGTCAGGTAATTAAAAGAAACGGTTCCTTTTCCACACAATCCAACTCCTGCATTTTTTTTACACCGTGATTGCATTTTGTTTTGACAAACAAGTCAATATTCCTTTAGCCTCTACTTTTTTTTTTTTAACAGATGGCAGGAATCAAAAGCCCCTCCGCCCCCAAGATTATTATGCTCATTTTATGCAGATTTAGCAGCATACAGTGGGTAAATGCAGTGGATTATGGGGGATTACTGGCGGACGTGTCCAAACAGTCACCAAAACAAGCCTGCTTGTGTGTGTGTGTTTGTGTGTGTGTCCTGCGATGTAGGATAAAGACAAATATACATCCTATATGTTCGTCTTGACAGAAGCGCCATTAATGAGCACAGTGAAAGACTTTCATGGTCCCCGTATGGCAAAGTATTCCAACAAGAGAAAGTACAGTGCTTCCACAGGGAGCAACATAAACTCCCAGCGCAGCCTGCTTACTACTTCTTACTCACATCATTAACACTAGCTTAATGAACACGCCACATATTGTCTCAATGGCTGCCTCCTGCGAGTGTGTGTGCGCATGTGTGTGTGTGTGTGCGCGCGTGCGTGCGTGCGTCCGTGAGTGCGCGTGTGTGTGTGTGTGTGTGTGTGTGTGTGTGTGTGTGTGTGTTTACTTACTCGGGCTACGTTCACATAGTCGTCGTCTGAGAGGGTGTCCAGCATCTTGATGACTGAGGTCTTCATCAGCTTGAGCGTGAGTCCACTAACACTACCACTCCTGCACAAAAGGAAAACACTTAGAGGACCTTGAATCCCTTTTAGAGTAGTGAAGAAAGGATTGTTGATGGCTTGACATGAACAGTTATAAATGTTATGAACATGTTCCACACATGTTGTGAGCCTCTGTACCAGTTGTGAACATGCAAAAACACGCAATAAACAGGGTGTAATGTAATTTTTATAATCAACATGTCAAACATTTAAGATGTGTTATTAAAAGGGTTCTAAACAATTTATAAATGTTATTAACTTTTATGACCTGGTTATAACCATGTTAAACGCATGAACATGAACATTTCATAAAATCCAAGAAAATATTATAAAGCATGTTATATGCATGTTATACAATACATATGAACATTTTATTACTGTACAATATAATTATTGACAAGGTATTAGGCATGTTATATGCCTGTTAGGAACATGTTAACTGTTATAAACATGTTAGAAACAGATGACAAATCTTACACTCGTGAACATGTGCAGTGCATGTTATAAACATAGCTAGAACGTGTTTTCAATATTATAAGCAGATTGTGAAGATCTTATGAACAAACTATGCCCACTATGAACATAAGATCATACATGCCATGAACATATAATAAAGTGATTATAAACATGTTATAAGTAGGTTATAAACAGGTCACTAATGACATTGTACCCTGATAAAATTATGACATTATTCACAATCAGATAAAACATCACAAGGGTATATTTAATGTCAAGTGGGAGTACGAGCGGGCCTCAGTTCCGCCCAGGCTCTGCACGGACCAACAGGTGGCACTAGCGCTCTTTGTGGTTTCTATGTGACAAGGGCAAAGAGTTACTCACACATCCACGATGATGACCATGTCCTTTGGAGAGGATGCACCTTGAATGTACCTGTTCAGATGAAAAAGAAAAAAGACACAAAAGACCCGGCATTTAATTTGTTTTGATAATTTGGGGACAAAGGAGCCAAAGTTGAAATGAGCTAAGCTGTGATAATGCGAGTGACCGCAGCTGAGCCCACTTAAGCTCGAGCACAGTGAAAAAGGCTTATGTGCTTCGAAGACTTAATAGGTGGCGTTGTATGCGGCACTTTGCTACTGGGCTCACACCAACACAGACTCCCCCCCACCCCACCTTTACTCAATAACCATTACTAGGAGAGCATGAAAGGCGATAAATAACGTGCATTTGAATAGCCTGCATTTTACATTCGGCCACTAAAGTGTGAAAGGGACGGCTTGTTTATTAAATACATGCACCCGAGGATCAAGGAGTTTACGGTGCAACGTTTCAGACCACCATGGACAAAATGAGGCGCACACCGATTGTTGTCCGGGGTGATTATTGGCACCGATGTTTTGCATTTTGACATATATCGGCATTGGCTGTTTTTTAAAACTCTTGATGGCCAAGAGATGAATTTAAAATTATGGTAATTTCAGAAAACTACTTGATTTAAACTTCAGTTAACTTTATAAGAGATTCTGCTGACGATTCGAACTCTCTGCATCTTTTTTTGTCGGGGCGGGGGGGGGGGGGAATTAAAACATTGAAAAGAGAAAATTTAACATTTACTGTGGAAAATAATTGGGAGCTATTTCCTGGTTTTCATTTAACTTTTTAATAAAAACTGTATTAAATAAAATACTTATTTTGGTTTGTGTTGTGGGGGGGGGGGGGGGGGGGTGAAATTAAAACATTGAAAAGAGAAAATTTAACATTTACTGTGGAAAATAATTGGGAGCTATTTCCTGGTTTTCATTTAACTTTTTAATAAAAACTGTATTAAATAAAATACTTATTTCTCATTGAGCAGAAAGGAGTTTTAAAATAATAATAATAAATTAAAAAAAAAAATAAAATGACACTTTGCAAATCAGAAAAGTTGGTTAATAAACATGCTAAAAGACATTTCAACAAAGAGTTGAAGATTAATTTTTTTTAATTTCAACACCAATATTTTCCCTTTTGCTGAAACTGAGTATCGACTCCAAATATTGTCCTCCCATACTGCCTACTCATAATCAGTATTGGCCCCGACAAAACCATATTGGTCTAGCTCGAAAACCATTTACCAGAGTAGTCACAGTGCGGATGAGGAAACTAGCCGGCCGTAGGAAAACTGGCTGCATTTAACTAAACCTGACACGATGGAATAGGGCGGAACGCAACTTGGAGGCGGGGTCTATAGTGTGATGGGAAGCATTGCGTTTCCCATCTCACACTCGTGCCTGCAACTCTTCACTGACAACACTTGATATTGTTGTGGCCACAAAATGCTCCAAAGCTGCCCCAGCGTTCATTTTTCATCTGGAGAAAAAAGCCTTGACAGAACATGAGAAAAGTGCAGGGGATCCCATCAGAAAGTGACAGGCCAGAAGGGAATGTACTGGCTTCTGTGGTAAACTGCGGGCTGAACCGTAGTGTGCCTTCGAGCCTGTGGGACTCAGCAACCCCATTTTCCCCATGGTTCTTTTCTGTGATAGACCAGGAGCAAACTCAGCAAGACTTGAATACCGAGTTAAAAAAAAAAAAAAGCCCTAATCTACCTGGAAGTATAAAAGTACAGACTCTGAAATGTACTGAAGTACAAAAGTAAAAACCTTTTCCTGCCAGTTATGTAACAATACCAATTTTGGTGTAACTTGGCAAGACTATAGTGAAGAAAACAAAAATGATGTTTTATGTTTTTTTTTTTTTTTTTTGGGGAGATACAGTCCGCCACCACTGATATGAAGATGGTTTGGGATGGAGTAGTTTGCGGGCCGTATTTGGCAGAGTAATCAGCGGAGCTCCTTTTCTGCTGATTATCAGCGTGGAGGGAAGCCAGACGCCCGGCGGGACCGCGGAGGCTCATCGCTCACGCTCGACCGAGCTGATACGGACACACAGAACCCCGCCGGGCTCGGCCGCTGCCCCTCCACGAGCCTCTCAAGACTCCCCTTACCGGCAGCCGCCACTCCAACTGTCGCACAGAGGCCAACCTGGGCCCACTTGGCTCAGAGGCTGTTTGCAAAGTCTCCGATGAAAGTCTGCACCAGCACTAGAGCTGAATGATTTCAGGAAAAGATTGAATTGCGATTTTTCTGGCAGATTGACTTTGATTCTTTTGATTTTTTTAAGTCAAGCTTCAGAGCAATATACACTATGTACAGTATTTACAAATATGACAGAATTGATTGAGCTATTGACAGAATTTATTGCTTTTATTTTGGAGTAATTATTTGCTCTCCTTTCGAAAGCTTTCCTTCCTGCTGTTGTGTTTCCTCACAATAGTGATTGCCTCTACCTGTGTCCCATTCCTGTGTGTATAAATAGTCTGCTTCTATCCCTGTTCTTTGTCCAATTATCTTATTAAGAGTCGTTTGTCTTGTTATTAAGAGTTTTCTGCCTAGTTTTTTTTTCCAGATTTACTGAGATTCGAAATTGGAACTTTAGGTAGGATCCTTATTTGAACACTCAATAAATTCACTGTCATTAAAAAAAAACAAAACAAAAAAACAAACTGCGAATTGTGCTTTTGGCTCCTTTTTTTTTGCATCTGTGTCACATCGGGTCTTCAGGCCGGCAAAACGAAAACTTCAACCCAATCTGCTGAGTCAAAATAATTAACTCATTTAATCCCAGCCATTTTCACTGGAGCAAACTGTACTGGATTTTGACTGATCTTGCAAGGCCCACAGATTATTGTATTCTATTGCGATATAAACATGCAGCCTTCCAAAAGAAAGATGAGACTCTTTTCAGCTGAAAAAAACATTTTGCTATATTGTTCCATTCTTTAGCAATTGACATTAGAATATAGCTACATTTCAACAGATTTCCAGTGTCTGAGGCTGACAAAGACTTCTTTTTGTAAAAGCATGCATTTTAAGGATAATTTCAAGTATGACATGACCATTTTTTTTTTTTTTTACTTTTTTCTACAGTCACTTGAGCACCACCACTAAAAGGGCTTTAGATAGCAAACAGATTTATTTGCATTCTATTGAATGGATGAAATGAACTACGAACAGAAGTGAAACAATGACTTCAGTGAGTGTGTATGTTTGCATGTGTATATGAGCGTGTGTATGTGTTTTCCCCTTCCACCCTGCAATTTTTGCAAAAGCTTTTTTTTTTATTTTTTTTTGGTGTGACACAAAATGGTTCGAATGCACTCTCTACTAACTCCACACGACTCCAAAACTCTTTGCCTGCATAGCCCCCTCTACTTCTACTTCTGCTGCATGATCCTGGCTCATCCCTTTCACCCGCTGCCACCTGCTGGACAGATTTTAAATGATTTACAATGCAGACAAGCCTGATGATGCAAAAGACGTAAAAACACATCATGGGTAGGCGGCTGTAGTGGTTTTTGAGTTGATTTATACATCATTGGGAATAAATAAGAGTTAACACACCCTTGAATAAAAGTAATCCAGTCAGCTCAAAATCGACAGCCACCCAGCGCGTGAGATTTTTGTTTTTTGTTTTTTTTGGTGCATTTCTCCCCTACCTATGCTCCCCTAGTTCCCAGTAAGAGCTAACCTTCAATTTGGTAAATTCCCATAATTCACATGAAAAGTTTCCAACTTCCAAAATTGATGTCATTTTGCAACCCAAGCACTGAGATCCGTTCACCGAGTCACAGTCAAGATGGCTGAAATGTAAGCGTGTAGTGGGAGGGGGCTGTGGAGACAGAGGCAGAATCCAATTATTTCCAATAATAAAGAATGCCACATCAAAGGTAGAACTTCCATAGCTCGGCATGACTGCGTGGTGCACAAAATCAGGTCTGGAACCAGCAGGCCCATCGGCATGCATGACTTTTTATCATTTTAATTAACCGAAATCTTAATTTGAGAAAGAGCGTCGAGGCTTCATGCATACAACGGCCATTTGGCTCCTTTTTTGGGGGTTGGGGGTGGGGACTGCGTGTGTGAACGGAAACGTGTGGTTAAAACGTGACCCTCGTATCCGCCGCCTCAGGCTCTCGGGTGGGAGGCGCCCCAATCCGGAGATAGAAGAGAGTGTCAATTGCTGAAAAAATGAAATGCCCGGCGGACCAACTGCGGGATTTCATTAACTTTTGCAGTCAGTTCATCTCTCATTGAGCAGAAAGGAGTTTTAATAGGAAGTTATTCTGAAAGGGCTGAATGTTAATTATAAGGCAATTGTTACCTGCACCAAACGGTAAAATATCACAGCGGACAACTGACTCACACACAAGGCCACGCCAGTGTTCTGTCTAATTTTCCATGAGTCTAAGTTTTCACAGAAACTACTTGAGCATTCCTTGAACCACAGGGGAGAAACGTCCAAGGACTTATATATAACTGGACTAACAATACCGTTTACACACAGTAGCGAGAAGTGAAGCCATCGGATGCCATTTTACGTTGCCACTCTTTAAGCATGCCTAGCTTTTTTTCTTCTATGAAGAGAATATGAAAAAAACAAAATGGAAATGCAGCTCAGATTGGATTATTATTATTATTTTTTAAAATATGCTGCATACATTTACTGCGCGCTGAAAGCATTGCACAATTATTCACAAACGCTGATATGCGCTAAAGCTAAAGATCTTAAATCATGGTATGACAGGCATGCACACACATGATCTCGGGCCTCCAGATGTGTTGTTTCTGCATGGATTCCGGTTAGTAATTACCTCGCAGCTTCAGCCCACCGACGCCATTCTTTCCCTGTCATTAACCAGACTCCCATGTGCCAAGGCCAGGTGACAAGCAGATGGACCTGGCCGGTGCTGAACTGAACTGAACCGAACCTCTTGGCCCAAAACATCAGCCAGAGGCGATTTAGATGCCAGCGATCAGCCCGAGGCCTTGCTGTCAGCTCGCTAAAAGTTACGAATCATTTAACAGTGGCTGCTCAGCCATATCTGGAAA